TCGACCCAAATATAAACGATTACTATTATTATCTATACAACTAACATACAATCTGGTAAAATCAAAAACGTTTCATTGGTTTAACTGAAACAGATTGGAAGCATAGTTTTTCTAACTAGAAGCTAACTTTAAGTAAGGATAAGTACACAAATAATATTGTTCACTCTAAATATTACTAGCAAATAAACGATGGTGGAATCGTCCAAGAAATGACGTGGGAAATAATGGCAGGAACTAAATCATACATTGTTAAAGGTGAAAGATGTAACCTTTGCCGTCTAGAAAATTTAGCGTTTCTAAAAAACCTATATATATATATATATATATATATATATATATATATATATATATAACCCTAATTTAATAAACAAAGAAATGAATTCATGGTAACATACAGACCTAAAAATAATGATTCTTGAAATATTTAAAACAATAAAAGACTAATATTAAACAAAACAACAAGTTAAAACTTGGAGGAATTTACTTGATCGTCTGTAATAATTGTCACAAAAAGTACACAGGAGAAACTTCAAGGAATTTAAATGAAATATTGTAGGAACACAAAAAGACATACTACAAAACAATTGCGTTGGTTGCCCACCGTAACAAGACTAACCACAATTTTGACACAAAAAATGCTACTCTGATCAAAGAAGAAAAACAATTCACTACGACGAAAATGTCTAGCGAGTGCCTTGATCGCAAGGTCGTCTACAGAAAATTTGCGTCCTGGCTCTTACAACATTTCACTATTACTGGCAGAACTTCTTTTATAACAATATGGGATATCTACTAACAAAACTGATGGAAAAAAGAATTATCTACGGTTTTAATGCAGGTGATATGACTAACCAATGAGAATCGACCCAAACAAAATTGAAAAGACCAAAGTTCTATCTTTTTGTTTGTTTTCTCTCAATCTCTGACGAAAATTTTATAAAAGTGAAACTTGTTAGGATTGAGAAACGTTTCCTATTTGTTCTTTGTATACATATATTCATGTGCATGTGTGGATATTTTAATGGAAAGAAGTTTGAGTGACTAAGTGGAAAAACAGTTTTCGTGTGACGCATTTCGTCTTTCAGGACTTCATCGGACTAAGTTTGTTTACATTAATATGACAACACATGCGCACAAACAAAAGAGGAATGATGAGAAATTTAAATTTAATGTTTATTTTAATGTGTTTCGGATATATAATCTCTAGCCAATTTCATTTAGGTTCATTTTATTTTAGTTTATGCTGCCATCACTTTTGTTATTAAATATGCCACATTGGGAAAATAGAAGATCTGCCAAGATGTTGAAAACGTAAGAACATCGACGCAGATTTACTGTGCAAGATCTCGCGGTTAAACAATTCCTATATATTTTCAACTTAGAAAATTGCTTTCTCTTTTAATTAGAATAACATGTTTTTAAATCACAATTGTGATCAGTATCGTTATGGTGGGCAACTAATTCATTTAATGTGTTGTTTTGTAAAAGACTGCGTTCAAGCATGAAACAGACAGTCGCTGCTCAGTGTTGATCTCAGTTTTCACCACACACACACAAAAACACACACGTACACACACCCTCACACACACACACAGACACACAGACAGACACACACGTACACACACACACACACACACACACACACACACACACACACACACACACACACATACATATATATTAGAACGTTCGCTTTCTGACCATGAGACCCGGGTTCGAATCTCACCATGCTCGATTTGTCAGAAAGGAGACTTCTTGGTGTTATCGGGTTGGAGGGGTCGATCCTAGCGTGCGGCACATTTGGAAAGTGCCTGAAAACCATAACACGGGTTGACCCAAGCCTTGTGAGTGAAATTGGGCAGATGGAACATTTGGGGCCGTCGATAGCTGTGCTAGCATGAAGTTACAAGTCATCGTGACCGAGGGCAAGAGTGTGCTGGTGTTGTTCATTCTAGATAACACGCTCTTTCCCAGAAACTGTGTCTGCCCAGTATAGTTGCATATGAACCAAAGGTGTGGCTCTGTAGGTGTTGAACAAACACAAATGTGCCTGAGCGAGAGTCTGCAATAGGGATTGACTAGCAGCCCTAGTAGACGGGTATCTTCGAATACGCGTGGCCAACTTTATATATATATATATATATATATATATATATATATATATATATATATGAATTAAAATCCGACAGAAATTCTTATTTGTTCCTTATTCTGTCATATGTGTGGGTGTATGTATGCGTGTTTCTGCTGAAAAGTTCACAAAGAAATTAAAAAGCATGCTCCTTTGGTCAGCTTTTCGAAAGTGAGTCAGCCATATCACAATTCAGTATAGTATAGTATATATATATATATATATATATATATACTATACTATACTATACTATACTATACTATAAACACGTGGCTATAAACAGCACCTTATCTGGGAACAAATAAATAAAGCAATTTTCACACCTAGAGAAGACACCCTAATGTACAAGATTAAAAATAAATCTAGCCGCATCCCTCTAGTAACCACTTTCAATCCCACTCTGCCTCCACTATCCCAAATAATCAAACGTCGCTGGGAAATACTACATCTCAAACCAGACCTAAAAAAATTGTTTAAGGAACCCCGTCTTCTTGCATATCGTAGACCTAAGAACCTAAAAGAAATCATAGGTAGTAACCACATTTCAGGGGACAAGGTAATCCGTAATAAACTAAGAACAAAAAAAAAACAGGATTTTCCCAACCATGTAACAACAAAAGAAGTTTATGTTGCAACCATATTAAACACACGAATTCATTCACTAGCTCAATCACTAAATCTACCACGATTCTAACTGTAGAAGTCATAACATAATTTACCTCCTAGAATGCACACTATGCCAGAAACAATATGTAGGAAAATCTGAATGGCCCTTTCACTACAGAATTAATAATTATCGTAAGCGAATTAAGTCGACTCCCCATGAAAAATTATTACCTGTAGAACAACATTTCCGCCTGGAAAAACACGATTTCAAAACCCATGCCAAAATCACTATAGAGAATAGAAAAGTTCAGAGCAGATAACACTAGAAAGATTTTAGAGTCCCATGAAAATAAGTGGATACAACGTCTAAAAACACAATATCCAGCCGGGCTAAACCATAAATTTAACAATATAGATAGTACTAATATATAACTCAACAAATCAAAACCTACCCACATTTCTCACCCACACAAGAGAGACATGCTTACGGAGGTGTTGAGGCCTCACACTTATACACACACCCACACGAATATACACACTTACACACATCATACTCACTCACTCCCTAATGAGCCAAATGATAACACACACCCACAGCAATACACACGCTTACACATATCATACTCACTCACTCCCTAAGAACCAAATAACACACACAAAAACACTTAACAGAGACACATCCCCTCACCAGGTCCAATAAAACTGTCAAACTGACCAGGGAAATTCAGAGAAGCATAGATCTATCCAGCTCTTATCTCAAATAACAACTTAAAAGAAAATGTTTGACCAACACAAGGATTGTTAAAAGATTCATGTTAAAAAGATAAAAAAATAAAAAAACAAATGAAAACTACAGACAAAAGTTCATTTTCTCCATCAAGACATTCATTTCTGTAGTTTACTGCTACCAGCAAGCAGAAATATTTCTTCTCCTGATGATGGCCATTTTGGCCGAAACTAGTCAAGGAATCTAAATGAAATAATAATAATAAAAACGAAAGAACAGTGTGTCTGAAGATTTTAATTTTTTAATATTTTTTTATTGTTCAAAATATATGTATATGTATATATATATATATTATGTATGTATATATATTAAGTATGTATGTGTGTGCAATTTTATATATGCATACTCATATGTTCACAGTCATGTGTGCAATACGTAACGTGAAAGCAATCGCACATATGCCGACAATTTTTCTTTTGGGCATATTTCATTAAATCTAAGATAACATTAATTTTTTAAACTGAAATTTTCTTTGTTCATATTTCCTGATGTTTACACGTAACTCTTCTGGTAATGCATGTAAAATTTGTCCGAAAAACAATTGTATGCACTCACAAGTATGTACGTGTATATATATATATATATATATATATATATATATAATGTCTGCTACTACAATTTTTTTTATTTTTATGTTTGCGTTTGTATATGCCTTTGTGTGTTCGTGTGTTTATATATATATATAATGTATGTATGTATGTATTATAAAAATATATATAGAATTGCTAGCACATACATACATATATATATATATATATATATATATATATATATATATATATATATATATATATATATATATATATATATATATATATATATATAAATATATATTTATGTATATGGGTGTGCATTTACATAACAAAACTGTATATTCCTCTACGTAGGTATTTCCACAATTCCACAACTTTATGATAAAAAATAATTCATTTTAATTAATTTTTCCTTGTCAATGCTTTTAATTCAATGGTGAATATTAATCATATACATTGATTGTATCCTAATAGACCTGTATCCTAATGATAAAAAGGATTTATTTTATACAATATATTTTTTTCAACATAATCTCCTTCAATCGGTGGTGAACATTGGTTCGCATAAAAAAAATTCAAATTTAATATGTAATTCAGCTAATAAGCAATTCTCTGGCTAAAGATTTATCGATACGCCCTCACACATACACACACACACACACACATATATATATATATATATATATATAAATAAATGCGTACACATATCACATACACACAATATATATATATATATATATATATATATATATATATAAATACGTGCGTACACATATCACATACACAAATATATATATATATATATATATATATATATATATATATATATATATATATATATATATATATATATGACAGGCTTTTTAGCTTTTTTGTCTGGCATGTCATCGCACTGCATCTTACCAGCCTCTGCAAACAAAATATATGCACCTGTCTTTAGGTCATGTTGCATTCTCTCTCTCTATGTTTTTTAAATCATGAACACTTTCCTCTTCCTGCTCATTGTTCTCTGCCCTTGTTCAGTTGTGTTAAACAGTCAGGTGCAACTCTTTGTTAAAATTTTGTCAAAGGATCCTCCGCATACCTGTTTCCTTCAAGAGAAAGAGCATCCAAGATTGTTTTTTTTTGTTTTTCTTTTTCTTTTCTTCCTTTTTTGTATTGATAAGTAAGGAGTATGTAAAAACAGGTAAAATCTCAAGTTCTTTAGAAATATACGCTTTTTCCCTTTGTGAAGACAGCCTTAAAGAAAATATATCTATATTGTCACGCATGGCTTTGAGAAATACTTGTCAATTTCTGGAATTTTTTGAGGTTTGTTTGTTTATCCTTTCTCGTTTTGGGTTACACATACAATACACAGATACACACACATTATACATACATACATACATACATACATACATACATACATATATATATATATATATATATATATATATAAATACAGAAATAAAAATTTATTAGGAAGAGTTAAATTTGAAGAGTGAAAAATATATAAACAAAAAGTGGTGATTCATTTGCTGTTTAAAAATTATTTTAACATCGTTTTGGAACTTTTGATTTGTTTAATATTTTCAATTTTGTCCTGGTGACATACATTTTTAAAATCATCTATCTAGTAATTAAATCTGATGTTTTTGCAAATTATATTTAACTTTCTAAATTAATTTTTGAAATTGTTTTATTATGATATCATTCAGACTAAAATATATTCCCTTCTAAAAATCATATCTTAAACAATATACACTGTTTCAGCGGGAACAAATGGAAATGGATTTCCAGGGACAAAATAACTTAATAAGCAACATATACCAGCCAATCAATGGACAACTGACGAGAGCCAGGACGTACTTAACCGAAACGTTGTCTGTAATGACAACGATAATAATCAAGGTGAAAAAAACTTCTTCTCAATCTAGTAATTAAATCTGATGTTTTTCGAATTAAATTTAACTTTTTAAATTAATTTTTAACTAATTATTATAATTATACCAATGTTGTAAATGTATTTTATTAGTTACTAATTACTTTCTCTTCGTTATTATCATCGTGTGCCATTGAAATTATTGGTATTACTCCCCACTCATTTAGTATTACTTAGTACTAGTAGTATATTTTCCAGGTCACTTTACGAGTGCTACTTGTACTCTGTAAGCCGGAACTACCAGCTGCTAGGTTTATTTCCACATCACGTGGAAACAGGGGTTTCTGTACGATCACCGAAATGAAGCAACGCCGAGCCTGGTCAGTATCAAGATAGGTGACTGCTTGGGAATACCAGGTGGCGTACGCTTGGATGTACGGATGGTGTAATGGATAACTGTCAGTAGCGGAGCCGAGTTCGAATTCCAGTTGGGTTCGTTATATTCACTTATGTGCAAAACCCCTTTTTTATCTTCATACTCCCTAAATAGGTTCAATCGAGCCAATGAGAACGATCCTTTTTGCTGTATAGTAGGTGCTATATACTATAGAGCATGTAGCCAGTTTAGGAATTCAGAGTTACTTTCTACGAGACAGGTTGCCACCCAAGACTGCTTTTTATCCATAGCTGAGGTGGGGAGATGAAAAGGATTCATACGTTTCCCAAATGGAATTCGAACCCGGCTCTGCTATTATCCAATTATCCATTACACCATCCGCACATACAAACGTAAGGTATGTTCGCAAGCAGTCACCGATCTTGATACTGACCAGGTTCGTCGTTGCTTCACTTCGGTGATTGTACAGAAACCTCTGTTTCCACGTGATGTGATCATAAACCTAGTGGCAGGTAGTTCTGGTTTACAGAGTACTAGCACTCTTAAAGTGACTTAGAAGGGTATTAACACGTAAGTGAATGTAATGAATCCGATTGGAATTCGAACTCGGTTCTCCAATTCCTCAATACGAGCCGTTATCCATCACTCCACCGTGCCTCCTTGGGAAAAGTATGAATCTACTTCTTCTGCCCTCAGCTTTGGGTTAATTAGTAAGACTTGTACCATGAAAACCATTATTATCTCGAAAAAAAAAACTACAAAAATACAACTGACTAAAAGGTTGATATGAAGCTAAACAAAATCAGCCAACTAACCAAGTACCTGTCGCATGGTCTGATTATCAGCAAATAAACCTGTTCCCCTACCAGCGCTTTTTGGTGAGGTGAGTGGCTAAACGCCCAGCAGGATTAAAAACAAGACCTATCAAAGGGCAGATGAACCCTCTTATAGGGTCAACGGAATCTGGTACAGTTGTATAGACTGGGGTTCCATAGCTATGGATGCAGCCAGCGTGGTGATGACAGGACATCGCTGAGCGGGGGGATTCCTAGACCTAAGGCAACAGCCAGGACAGACACTTCCATCGATGAAATCAGAAAGGTCATATGTCATCGGCTGTGATCCCCGAGAGAGATGAGCTCGGCTCGGCTATGTCTACTGGCCAAGGCACACTACGCATGGATAAATACGTCTTTGGCTTTTAAGCCCGATATATAGAGGGGGGGAACTGCTCAGGTGATCAATTGTGTAGCGACCCTTCAACTTCAATTTTCTTTTTGTTAATTCATGAAAGCAAAGTAATGTATCATCATGATAAAGAAGAAAGGATATCAGGTAAATTAAAATTGCAATGAAGCATTTTATCGATTATCTCCTCCTGGTGGGAAAAATATTCGATATACATTTAATAATTTCGTAAAACAATTTAAAACATTCTGTATCTCTCCTCAAATGTAATTCATATACAACCACTTCTCACTTGAACGACTAAACGACCAGATATAAAATCTCATAAAATAAAAAAAATAAAAAATCCAATCAACCTGTATTGGACGTTGTACGAAAACTTATCGTAATTGTTTTCTCTTTCATAAAAATAAATCAAAATAAATGAACTAATAAAGTGAAAAAATATATAAAATTTAGATTCTACTGTATAAACTGCCTGCAAACCGGAGCAATGTACAGAATACAGAGCTGGTATTTGAATTTGTTTATTATATTTATTGTTCAGTACAATATTGTACTGTATAAATATTTAGAAATAAAACGTCACAATTAGTGCAAAAAAGCAGCATTAAACTATCTGAAGCTGTCTGACATAAACCTATTCAATGCATAACATGTTTGAAATAGAAATCAGGTACAACCTACTTAGTGACCAGCTCATTTATCAATCAGCTTATTGTATTTGCTCAGTGAGAAATAGCCCTAATTGTAAATAATTCTTTATATCAATAAATAAGGAGATTTCTCAGATTTAATGTGGATTTAATTCTAAAAAGGATGCGAGGGTGGTGCAGTGCTTAGTGACTCGGATAGAGAAATCAGTGAGGTGAGTTCAAATTTCGCCAGAGTTGATTCTTCAATAATCTGGATTTGCATCCTTTATACTTCTTGTTTGGCTTATGGTTTACAATTGTGGTGACGAAGGAGAAAACCAAGTCTTGCTTTGAAAAGGTATTCATGTTCATTGTGCTGTCTGTCAAAGAAGAAAATTAGAATCAAGATCGAGTTGACTTTAATTGGTCTTGAAATATGTGAATCATTTGCATTTCTCTACCAGTTAAAGTTAAATCTGTCAATTCTTCAAAATGAATAAATAAAGTGAAAAAAAATATATAAACTTTAGTTTCTACTGTATATACAGTCTGTAAACTGAAGCAAGGCACAGAATACAGAACTGGTATTTGAATTTGTTTATTATATTTACTGTTCAGTATACTATTGTACTGTATAAATATTTAGAAATAAAATGTTACAATTAGTGCAAAAAGTGGCATTAAACTATCTGAAGCTGAGTAACACAAACCTATTGAATGCTTAACATGCATGAAATAGCAGTCAGGTACAACTCACTTAGTGACCAGCTCATTTATCAATCAGCTTATTGGAATGGAACCTGTTCAGTGAGGAGTAGCTCTAATTCTAAATAATTCTTTATGTCAATAAATAAAGGGATTTCTGAGATTTAAAGGGATTTAATTCTTAAAAGGATGCGTGGGTAGTGCAATGGTTAGTAACTCAGATAGAGAAATCAGTGAAGCGAGTTCAAATTCCGCCTGAGTTGATTCTTCAATAATCTAGATTTCCATTCTTTCTTAGTTTGGATTTTTGCTTTACAATTATAATGCCGAAGAGGAAAACTAAGTCTTAACTCGAAAAGGTATTCGTGTCCCTTGTATGCAAACTGAAGTAATGTACAAAATATAGAGCTGATTTTCGATTTTTTTTTGTTATACAGTGTAACCCGGATATAAGAGAGTTGTCGGGACCGGAGAAGAAGTCTCTTATATCCGGGTTTCTCTTATATCCGGGTTTCTCTTATATCCGGGTTTGGTCTATTTTATATACATTAACACAGGCTCTAATTTGGGACCAGAGAAAATCTCTCTTATATCCGGGTTTCTCTTATACCCGGGTTTCTCTTATATCCGGGTTTCTCTTATATCCGGGTCTCTTATATCCGGGTTACACTGTATTTACTGTTCAGCGTACCAGTTAGTTGGCATCTATTTATCTCGCGAGGCAAACGTTTAGCCAAAATTCGGTCCTTTGGTGGTGGAACTGGAGAGTCTTCTTTAGGGTGCAAGCCTTGCTCGATGGTATATGCAGGCCGTGCGCTGTCCAGACGACATGGTCACCCTTTCAACAGTAGTGACAAGATTCAAAGTAATACTGGGTATTACATTTGGGTTTAGTTAGAAAAGAATACTGAGCTGTTCCGTGGTATCTGTTCTTCTGTTGGACGATTTGGTCAAAGATGAAGAGATTGGCGGCGACAGAGATGTGGTTCTACAGAAGGATGCTAAGGATATCATGCACCGAGCGTGTGAGCAACGATGAAATCTTAGAGAGGATGTAAACAAGGAGGAGGCTTATACTTTTTGCACTAATTGTAACATTTTATTTCTAAATATTTATACAGTACAATAGTACACTGAACAGTAAATATAATAAACAAATTCAAATATAATGAGGAAGGAGGGCATGGAGAATCTGATACTCCTGGGTCGAGTAGAGGGAAAGCAAGAC